CTGTCAAGAAGAGTCCATTGTTAAAAAGACCCTCGCTGGACCTGGGAGATGGGACTATGTCAAGAATCTTCTGATACACGAGCGCCCCAACTTGCAGCAGGTCCTTTGGGTATCCAAGGAGAACCTCGAAAGGAAACAGCTCGCCTTGGATATTATCTGTACTGATGTAACGAAGCGCTTACGCAACCAAGAGACCAAGATGACGCTCCTTGATGCAAAGAACGAGCTGGGCCTGAACCCAGAAGAGTCTCACGACATACGTGCCGCTTTACATATTGTACTCAGCGATGCAAAGTTTACGTGTAAGTCTGACGGAACACCGGAGCAGTGGGAAGAACTGAAGAAGCAATGGCTGGAGAAGGTCGCACTTCTCAAAAATATTCCTCTCGATGGAGACGACGAGCAATCTCGTCGAAAGGCCAGGGCGATCGAAATTATCGCTCGGGATGTGATTAAGAGAAAAAGGGACGAGAAGAGAGTCAAGATTGCTAAAGCCAATGAAATGACCAAGCCAAAGGAGACTCCTTCGCCCAATGTTCAGAACAGTGATTCGCAACATGAGACCCAAGAACCGCAGTTCGTGTCTGACAGACATCACTCTACGCACCGCCATCAGGTACAACCAGAAAGAGATCCGCCTCCAGCCTTTTCTTCCATGCAACAAGGAGGAGCCTCACGGTCTAGCCCACCTACAAGTCCAACCGCAATGGATGTTGAAGGAATGGATAGTAATATGGACACCTCTGGCTATGGAGCTATAGGTGAAACACCAAATTCACGAATGGAGTACACAACGAGACAACCTGCACCACCAAATCGACCTGTACAAATGCAGCCACAGACTTCCACCATGTCGACTCCTCAAGGAGTCCTTCCTCAACCTCACAGAATGCTGGGCTCGTCTGCAACTACTGCAGTATCCATGAACAACCAGTACGCGTCGTCTATGTACTTGGGAAACCAACCACAACCGAACTATATAGAACAGCAATATGTGCAGCATCAGTTTGCATCACCAGCACCCAGCACAATGTTCCAGCCTGTCCCCGCAGTGCCAAGTTCTTTTGCTGTGTTCCTACGACTGCACCCATCTTCGACTTATGTAACAAATACAAGTCTGTGGATTTCCACCATGGCTTCGCAGTCAATTCAAGAACTACGACAGACGGCAGTCGCCAAGTTCCCTGGCGCGCTGTGTGTTCGCATCGAGGGTATCATAAAGGACCCCAAAGGCAATGAGCTGCCATTGCAGATTCAGGGCGATGACGAGTTGTGTGCCTATTTTGCACATATGCAAGGTGGCTCACCGACGTTCTCTGTTCAGCTTGTATAACATCGGAGTGTATGTACAAGGGCTGCACATGACTATTTAGTGCTGCATGTGTGAACAAACTGCAGAGCGACTTTGGTAGTGCTGAGGAACGACGGTGGAGGAACGGACGTACGGAGTTTCGGGATAAATATCGTTTTTGATTGGATACGGTAGAATGTGTACAGGCGTTGAGATGGATGAGTCGGTAGAGGCGTGAGGAGAGCGGACTTGATCTCCGCGGCGTACTTTGGTGGGAAACATTGTGAGACTTGGCGATTGTTGGCGGGCTTGAGTCTCCCAAAACATACCCAAATCAGAATTGTAGGAAAGTACTATGTTTTGCATCAGTATTAGGACCATTTAGGAAATACAGGCTCTCTCATAAAGAAAAAGCTTGGAATTGAATTTCGCCGACAACAGCGATGGCTTACTCTGAGGAAGTTTCCCTCTTATTTACTACTGTTTACTGTTTACTAGTAAGGAATGCCTCCAGAGCACATAGTATATTAACCAAATAGATAATCAAAGATACCAGATATTTTTGGGAACCATTCAATGAAGCTCCGGAGATGGCAGCTGGATAGAGATGTATAGAGAAGACGGACATGGAGCAGCGCGACTGGGAATAAAGCCGAGGAAAGAAGTCAAAACAAAGAATCAACTTAGAGTCCAAACCAATTGGAATTGGCATACATCTCTCCATGTTTACACAGTAGCCAGCTAAAGATCTCATCTGAGTAGATCTCAGGGCCCGAACAAGATGCCGTCTGTCAGTGAAGGTGGGGCTCGGGTTTTATAGTGCGGCATTCCAACTCCGCCTGTCAAATTTCCATTACCGTACGCTTCAAGCCTTAAGCTCGACATCGACCGCCTTCGTCGACGGCCAATTCCTCTCTCGACAGGCTCTCATAGTTTCAATCGACCTCTTGACGCATTTGGGTCATCTCAGCGCTTTACTACTTTGTGCGATTGACTCAAACCCCTTCCCCGCGCACCGGCTACAGCTAGCTAAAAGTAGCTTGCTTCCAATCGTCATGGCCTCTCTTCAATTGCGCGCCCAGCGTGCTGCCCTCCAGAACTTGCGAACCCCTACCACAGCCAGCTGCAGAGCCTCGAGGTTACCTACGACTCTGACCCGCGCCTACGCTACCGATATCGAACCGGGAAAGCAGAACAAACCCGCCGCCCGACAGAGCAATGAGACCAAGGTGGGCAGGTCGTTCCAGGGCCAGGTCATGGGCAGTATTGGAGCTCGATTAAGACGTGAGAAGGAACAGCGAGCACAATATGAGGAGTGGCGTAACCTAACAGATCCTACGCGGAACTGGATGATGACTTTTGGTGAGTCCCATATCATGACTTGTTCAAGAGCTCCAAGCTAATAGAAGATAGTCTTCCTCTCTGGCGTTGGAATCTCATACTGGCTTGGTACTTATTGGCCAAGAGAGCCTGAGCCCTTATCTACACTCCCTCTCGGCAAGACCACAGCGCCCAAGCATAACACGAAACTCGAGAATATGCAGGCCGCCTGGGCCGACTTTGTCAAGATTGTTGGCCAGGATAATGTCAGCACCGCCGAGAATGATATCGAACACCACGCTACCTCGAACTGGTCCTCGCACCAAGCTGGACCCGAAGATCGATCCTTCTGCGTTGTCTACCCTTCAACTACCGAGGAAGTGTCCGAGATCATGAAGGTCTGCCACAGACGTAGGATTCCCGTTACTGGTTACAGCGGTGGTACCAGTCTCGAGGGTCACTTTACTCCCACCCGCAAGGGCGTCTCCATCGACTTTGGCCGTATGAACAAGATCATCAATCTTCACAAGGAGGATCTTGATGTTGTTGTCCAGCCTGCCATGGGCTGGGAGGCTCTCAACGACCACCTTGGCCATGAGGGTCTCTTCTTCCCTCCTGACCCTGGCCCCGGGGCCATGATTGGAGGCATGATCGGAACCGGATGCAGCGGTACTAACGCCTACCGCTACGGCACCATGCGCGAATGGGTTCTTAGTTTGACAGTTGTCCTCGCTGATGGCACAATTATCAAAACCAGGCAACGGCCTCGCAAGAGTTCTGCTGGCTACGACCTTACCAAGCTCTTCATCGGCTCTGAGGGCACCCTTGGTCTTGTCACAGAGGCTACTCTCAAGGTCACCGTCAAGCCCGAATCTACCAGCGTCGCTGTCTGCAGTTTTCCCTCGATCCGCCACGCTGCTGATTGCGTCAGCAAGGTTGTTGGTCAAGGCGTTCCTGTCGCGGCTGTCGAGATCCTCGACGATAACCAAATGAAGTGCATCAACGATGCCGGCATGACATCGAAAGCTTGGGCTGAGGCGGCAACGCTCTTCTTCAAGTTCGCCGGTACTCCCGCCGGTGTCAAGGAGCAGATTGCTCAGGTGCAAGGCCTTGCCAAGAAGGCCGGTAGCAAGACCTTTGAATTTGCAAAGAACCAGGAGGAGCAAGACGAGCTGTGGAGTGCACGAAAGGAGGCTCTCTGGAGCACCATGGCGGTCAAGAAGCCTGATGACCACGTATGGACCGGTGACGTCGCCGTGCCTATGAGCAAGCTGCCCGATCTAATCGAGGCCACCAAGGAGGATATGGCCAAGAGTGGCCTGTTTGCCTCTATCGTGGGACACGTCGGTGATGGCAACTTCCACACTATCCTTCTGTACAACGACTCTGAGCGACCAAAGGCTGAGGCTGTGGTGCATCGTATGGTCAAGAAGGCTGTTGAGATGGAGGGTACTGTGACGGGTGAGCACGGCGTTGGTCTTGTCAAGCGGGACTATCTCCCTCATGAGCTTGGCGAGACCACAGTCGATGCTATGCGACAGGTAAGAACACCCTCTTAATCCGAGCGATGAACATTTTACTAACTACTTGGTACAGATCAAGAAGGCTTACGACCCCCTATGTCTGCTTAACTGCGACAAGGTTGTGCGTGTTGAAAGACCCAAGAAGGGAGAGGTTTCAGAGTGGTAAGAATAAGTGTGGAAATGAAAGGAAGAAAAGGGATGGAGTGAAGAATATACCTGTTTACGTGTACGATGTAAGAATAGAATGAAGGCTTCAACGACGATTCAAGGGGTTCGTCTTTACTTATGAGAGCCTGTGTATTTAAGCAATCAACAATTCTTTTCAATGTTTGCTTGTGACCCTAACAATGAGAAAGTCACCAAGGAACGCCTTAATTCTCTATCCTCATCGCGTAGCACTATCGCATCTTTATGGTTGCAATTATGGTTGCATCGGTTGAATTGTTTTTGGGCTTGTGCTACAGTTAACAGTTATGGAGCTATCATCAAATCAGGTAGAGGCTACCTATTGTGTTGTGTTGCTGTGTATTGAGCATTGGTGTCGACTATTGTGCTAGGAAATCTGCCATTGTGTTCTGACTACGCTGAATAGCTCCAGCCTCGAAATATTGGGTTAGATCACAATACACTTTCTTAGTCTATAATTGATCAATCGGTTAATACCTGGCATGATTTATTGTCAGTCTAGTCCATCAGGCAGTGAGTATGAAAAGATGCATCGATGGCACCAACTATTATAAAACTTAGGGCTCCATGATACCGTAGACAACCACTGTATAAGTCTGCCACTTCTCCTCATCACCCTGAGTGTTTCCGTTCACAAGACACCAACATCGAAAGTCTACAACTGAATCCAAGAGCTCATCATGTCTACCAACAAGAACAAGGTCCAGTCGGACACCAAAGAGGACGAACGACGCAAGTTAATCGAGAATCTTGATACGAAGATCAAGAACCTGCATAACATAAGCGATGATGTCGAATATGGCCTTCTAAAACTTCAGTCGGAGCTTTATAATATCAGCCAGAAACGGACCAAGAACCTAAAGGCTCGGATAAAGAAGATGATCGAAGAGGGAAACGTCGAGTCCCTGGCTAATGGTCATGATTGGTAAGGATCTTGCCCATGCCTTCATACATAGAGAGGTCGTACTGATGATAGTCTTGCAGCCATCTCACAAATTCCCAATCGAACCTGAACCAAGGCCATGGCCATGGTCAAGGCCAGGGAGCTTCCACCTGGCCTGCCGTACCTGAGGACTTTTATGACGATGAGTGGTACGCACCTAATCAATGTAATCTGCCTAGAAACACCAAGCTGATATCACATGTCATAGAACAATTCGCCCAGTTTCTCTGTTTCTTCGAGGATAATGCAGGACGATATGAACGACAAGGTTGGCGGTTGGGAAATGGTGGAACTGTTATAAAAAGCATCGCACAAGCGAGTATATGTTTTTCTAAATTAGACAGAGGTATCAAACTCAATCAAAACAGAGCCAGCTTCCATAGCTACTCATCAAGTTCCATCAACTCCATAAACAAATCGCGATGCAAATCCTCAATCAAAATACTGTAACAGTATTGACATGTCCATTCTTCAAAACCTCAAACACCATTCCTGGGAATCCATACAGGGTTGTCGTAGAGTCGCCATTCGCTTCGGCGCGCTTTGCGCCGCTCTCCTCCCACCCTCCGAGGAACTCGCAGCTACTACCTGGACTATCACCCCAGCCACGATTAAGGACCATGCCGCGCTGTCTTTGTTGCGAGTCGTTGCGAGGAAATTCAGACGCCCATATCGCGTTCATGCGATCCTCGATCCGTGGGAAGGGTGTTTCTGAATCTGTTGGCCCATTGGCGTCGTCTATAAAGGAGTCCAAGTATGCGATTTCCCAGCGACAACGTCGATGTCGGTTGAATTCATACGAACCGGGTATGTTGCCGTGCAGTACTAGCTTTGTAGCCACCAGACGATCGGGAGAGTGTGATATGATGCCGTTCTGACCCTCCGCTTCGTTTGGTCTGTTTCCGGGAGGAGCCTGAGAAGGGGGCACACGGGTGGATACTAAGATGTCAAAACCGAGATAGAAGTAATTGTAGAAGCATTCGCCATTTGCGCTGAGGCCGACATGGTCATCAATAGCTTCTTCATTATCAGATGCGTCAGATCCATCGTGCAGGGAAGACTGATCTGTATCAGTTGAATCCTCTGGTCGACCAATATCTACGGCTTCCGGTCGAGCTTTCGTATTGCTTGCGGCGCGCATTTTATGGATGACCATCTTCTGATCGTTCTTGCGATATATAGCATTCGGAGGACCTAGTTCCATGAGTAGATCTTGAGGTGTCGTTTCGCCAAGAGTGATCATAAAGGAGTTGCTTGTCCACTTCCTGAACATTTGTATCTTTCCACCGCCATGCAGCCGAATAAGCGAGATCTCATCGGGATACACGTCTTTGCCCCGAGGTATCACAGTAGTAGACTTAATACTAGGCAGTATTTCTGTCCAGAGGTTCGGCCGGGCATCGGCCCACGAGTCACCGCTGAATACAGCCATGGATGTTGCGACTTGGCTAGAAGCCGATGCGAAAGTGGACACTACATCCTTCTCGGCGGAGTATTCAGAAGGGTTTAGTGAGAAGTTGAAGGCAACTCCAGGGTACGATAGGACGTATATACCGTTGTCATGGGCATTGGATGGTGGAATGAACTCTCCTGCATATGTTGGTCCAAGTAACTTGTGGTATATGTGCCTAAATGTTGGCCCTGATGTCGAGTCCCCTGGCATAGGCGATCCTGTAGTTGCCGGCTTAACAAGGTCTCTCTCCTTGAACGTGATGTGATTCTTGGTAAAGTCGGTAACTTCGATAAGCCGCAGTCGTTGCTCTGGGCCGTCAAACCTTAGCCGCACTCCATTCGCGAGGAGACTGACTCCAACGGGTTCGGTAACGGGTCGATCGGGGGAGTATAAGAGCTCGATCTTTGGGAAGCGCTGGGGTTCAGCTTTGAGACGGGTGAGGACATCGTGCAGGGTTGCGCCGAGGACTGTATAACGAATATTAGTAGCTATTTGAGTGATGGTGGGAGAGACCAACCTAGAAAGCCCAGTGCTCGGCCAGGATGAAGTTGAGCGGTAAAGAGGGACATGATGTTGATGGCGAGTATACTATGTAGTAGACAAAGCTTATCGCGGGGCTGGTTTAGGGGTCGAGCCGTGTAAGAGCTCGCTCGGCTCTCATATGAGCGATGGAGATTATGTGTCGCTAATCATGAGCTGAAAATGCAGATCAAAGATGGAGACTACAAAAGGAAAAATAAAATAGCCAAAAATCCATCAAAGAAAAGGGGACGGTCACGAGTATCAGTTTGTTGTTTAATCACTTATGCAATGTACAATCTGGGCTTATCGAGTGAGGAGTGACAAGTCTCCCATGTGATGCGATTCTGTGACGCGGGGCCTTAGTTCGCGATGACGTAAGGCGACCACATGTTCTTTTTTCATATATGGATATTAATCATTGGACTTAACTGTTTCTACTACCAGTAAGTTAGGTTATGTGTTGGTAGCCAGATAGTGAATATTGGCTGATAACTTATGGCATTCTGGAAAGATCCTGGAGAAGACTAGTAGGTAGTGTAGTACCTTGTTGTCTACTGGTTACCGCTCTAGGTAACTCAAGTAAACAGAATATTAACCAAAATAAGACGTGTCAAAATGAATTCTTTAACAAGTGAGGCTTATATTTGTAATAGCACTCACTCCCCTTCCGCAAAAATGACAAAGAAAGAGAATGGATGCCATAGTGAAAGCAGGCTTGAATTATTACGATACCAAACACGAGCCTCGGCAACAGTATCAAACCACCTTTTCGGAAGGTGCCTGTGGGGTCAACTTAAGCTGACGTTGGAGACAAAGCTTATAACTTTTATCTTATCTTGGCTTCAGCAACAAGTTAATCTCTATAACTACCAGCTCAACCCAACATATTCTCAATTGAAACACATTATTTTCTTAGTATTCTCATTGTGACTCAAGGGCAACAATTGACCCCGTCTCTCCCTCTGAGCATCTGAGCTAACCATAACAACTCCCCTTCACATCATGGCTCCATCCGACTTTGCAGACTATCCCAAGCCAGTTGAGGCTCCCGCAGTAACCTACAGCCCACAGGTCGAGAACAATCCTGTATTCAGAGGCCTTCCTCTTGTAATAGGTGCCAACATGTAAGGGCCTTGCTAGGTATGGCAAACGCATTAAAGTTGACATTGCCTAGCATCTCCAAAGTAGGATTTCTTCAGCAGTATTTCTGGAATAATGCAAACTTTGGCATCATCAAAGATATTCCTGCTCTCGATGATATACCTTATAGGTTCCACGTATGCAAAATCTCCACGGTCGTGACAAGCTTTGGCATCTAACCCTTCCTAGCCCACTGTTACTCCCCTAGGCCCAACAGGGCCTATGCTCGAGTTTGGATCAGAACTCGTCAAGTCTCAGTACGCAGAATCGAAGGCACGCTACTACTCTGCAAGTGACTATCATGAGATGTACAAGTCTGGAAAGGTGACCCCTCTCCAAGTCGTCGAGGCCCTTCTACCTCACATCTCTAGACCTGATGGAAAGTATACAGATGGCTGGGTCGAAAACCATGGCAAGGATCATCTCGTTCTTGAGGCTGCCAAAGCTTCAACTGAGCGTTATACTGCCGGTAAACCTCTGAGTGTTCTGGACGGTGTACCCATCGGTGTCAAAGACGATACTGATGTCCAAGGCTTTCATAATCATATCGGCATGAAGTACAATCCCGCGATTGAAACTTTTAAGGAAAAGAAAGAGTCCTCGTGGCCGGTGAAGAAGCTCCAAGAAGCTGGTGCCGTGGTGATTGGTAAAAACGCCATGCATGAGCTTGGGTCTGGTAAGTTTTCCCTTCAAAATATCTTCAATCAAAGTACTGACATTGATCAGATACCAGTGGATGCAATGTGAGCACGAATTCCATCATACTAAACCGTAACTGACACATTTAGGCCGCCCAAGGAACACCCACCAACTGGCACAACAAGTCATATTATCCAGGAGGTTCTTCTTCTGGAGGCTCATCCGCTGTCTCAGTCGGTATCGTACCCATCTCCGTTGGAACTGATGCCGGAGGAAGTATCCGCATTCCTCCAACCTTCAACGGCGTCTACGGTCTGAAGACAACGCACAACAGAGCCGTGTACATGAATAACACTATGTGTATCACCGGGCCTATTGCAGCAAATGTCGCAGACCTGACCATTGCGTATCGTGTCATGTCGCAACCTAATCCTGACTGCCACGTTCAAGGCCGTTTTGCACTTTCTGTCCTGCCGCCGAAAGACCAGAAAAAGGTCATTGGTATCTACCGCGACTGGTGGGACCAAGCCGATCCTCGCGTCCAAGAGGTCTGTGAACGGGCAGTCGATTATCTCTCTAGCAAATGCGGCTACGAACTCGTCGATATCACAATCCCGTATATCCCCGAGGCGCAGCTTGCACACAGTATAATCTGTATCACAGAGATGGCAGAGTCCGCTCGTCGGCGAACCCCCAATCCCGCAGATTGGCTTTCCCTCGTCGGTGCTGCTAATAAAGTCCTGATGACTGTCGGGACCAGGACACCCGCTGCGGATCTTCTCAAGTATAGCGCGCTGCGAGAGCTCATTATGCAGCATCTGGCTTTCTTGTTCCAGAAGCATCCTGGCCTTCTCATCCTCACACCAACGTCGCCTTTGGTCGGATGGCCCATTGTCCCTGGTGACGAAGTCTACGGTATGAGCGATACCAACACTACCATCCGCAATATGCTCTATATCTTCTTAGCCAATTTGACCGGTACTCCTTCACTATCGGCACCCATCGGATATGTTGACCCAGACCAGGGTGAGGGTAAGCTACCCATTGGTTTAATGGCCACAGGAGAATGGGGTAGCGAGGAACAGCTGCTCGCATGGGCAGGTGAAGCGGAAGAGTATTTGCACAATGCCACAGAATCTGGCCGACGCAGACCTAGTGAATGGTTGGATGTTGTAGATCTCGTGAAGGAGACATAGAATGGACTCTTCTTCATGATTCATGAGGAGCGAGTGGGAAGCCCTTGATTATCGGAATTGCTTCACTGTTTTGAACACTTTAACGTAGCACAACCCTTGGGTCCAATGGCTGGCATTTGATTGTTGTATATGAACCAAAGTACAGGTTGGCATTGTTAGCGGGAGAATTTGAGTGACCGAGGTACATAAACAACATCTGTAGTTCAAGACGAAACTGTTGAATTATCTCAACGGGATTTCATGTCCATTTTGTCATCTTTTGATGCTTATCTTAGGTCTTCGCTAATGCTACCATTTTTGTGACGAGCTATCGTGTTACTTGGACAGGAACTTGGAAGCAAGGCTCATGAGCCCTCCAGCGCCACCACCCTGTCCACCAGCACCTGCCTGTTGCTTGAAGTACATCTTCAGAGCGACCTCACCAGCCTGCTGGATAACACCCTCTTTGCTGGTTCCATCCGCTACCTTGCCGTTTGCAGCCTTGTTGTCAAAGAGCTACAAGACTCATGTTAGCTGGTGTTTTCTTGTGTTTAACCCAATGGGCATCACTAACCTTGCTAGCCTCGGCCAAAGCAAGACCTAGGAATGCAGTCTGGCTGTTGCCGCCAGCGCTGCTCTGGCTTGAGCCTTGTGTGTACATCTTGAGGGCTTGCATAGCAGCGGCCGTACCAAGGCTCTTGCTGTCCTGCTGGGGCTCGTCGTTATCGTAGGTGTTCTTGTGCTGCTTGATGGCATCTAGTGGACACTCGTAGTCAGTATGTTATCCCTCTCGATATAGGTCTTAGTCTCTCGCCTTCTTCATCGAGATCCTCATCAGCAAGCTTGTTCTTCTTCTGTCCGAGAGCACCTAGAATACTACCAAAGAGGTCCTTGTCGCCAGATGATCCGGCCTTTTGGTGTGCCTCTTCTTTGGCGTTGTCAAAGTCGACGTCTCCGCCGAGAAAGCCTCCGAATCCGCCACCACCTTGGGCTTCTATACACTTGTTAGAATCGTTCATTTAATGCCTTTGGGGGCACGTTGGGGACTGACGGATGCCGCCAGCAGGAGGGTGCTGCTGCTGCTGCTGCTGGCCATATTGGCCTCCCTGTTGTTGTCCATAGCCGCTCTCCTGTCCGTAGCCTTGCTGCTGACCATAACCCTGTTGTTGACCTCCGCCGTAGCCTTGCTGCTGTCCGTGACCCTGTTGAGACTGGTCTGGATAGCAGAGTATGTATTAGCATGTATAAGTTAGAACCAAACAATAGTGGTGGAAGGCACTGAAGTAAAAGAGCTGTTTTGCAGTGCCCCAACACCATGCGATGATGGTATCGCATGAGGGGCATGAATACATGGCGGGGTAATCAAGCTCCCCTGGCTTCAAGCTATGGCGATGTAATATAGACGTTCAACATACCTTGGCGCTTATCCTTGTCGTCATCAAGGTAATCCTTGGCGGCGTTGATGAGCTTGTCCATGGTTTTGGTTTATTTTTGGAGGGTTTGAGAAATAGGAATCGTCTTGATGGAGTTATTTAATTTGAAAGAGGAGATGTAAGAACGAAGTCGATGATGGAAGAGGAATGAACCGGAATTGAGGGGTTGCTGAGGCTATTGTCTCAAGTACCTACCACAAGAGTGAAGCACCATCATCTGGACCAAACCAATTAGAGGCACTTATTATGTGACCCATAGTTGCAGTGTCATTGATGTCGTCCTATCTTTGTCTGATGCCTTGCCCAATACCTCCATCATTGATCACGTCTGACGTGGACCCAGCTGTATGTGCAATACAAGCTGTTATCATGGGGAGCTTGGGCGGACCTACGCAATCGCTTCGTAGACTAGTGGGACCCTGAGCATTAGCTATTGCTTATTTCAGCTGTTATGGAACCCCAGTTTCAGCTGAGCTGCGTCGCAACACAACGGCCTACCCAAAAAATACTCAGGGTCGAGTTATTATACTGAATCGCCAAGTTGAAGTGCTAATAATTACCCGTTCAAGTTTGAATTCACGGTCATGTAGGCAATGCGTCAATTCATATACGTGGCGTTTCAAGGGCGCCCGCGTCAACTATATCTGCCAAATTGCTCCTACACCCAAGGTATCTGTATGGTAGAATCCAGTCGTAACAGGCCTCCAATTGAGCCATGAGCAAGCTTCCTTGATTAAGAAAATGAAAAACAAACCCGGCTGTGAGCGTCTCGTGTATCCCGCTTTCGCCGTATATAAATGCAATGGTAATATCAGCCTAAACTCCGTTGTGCCCCCAGGCACCGTGTTTCTAATCGAATCCTGCTATGTGTTATACTCGTACCGGTTCGTTTCGTTCGGATCGTATCTCGCCGCCGATAATCGTTTGGGTATGTCTGCGATTGCCGAGTCTACGCCACCGACTGATCCACTGTCGGAGGATGGCTGGTAGTCCTCTTCTTCTCCCTCTTGGCCCATCGTAGCCCACAGGCGTTGCACAACGTCTTGGGTCCTTGAGGCCCCTTTCTCCATTCTGGAGAATCCAACGTGCCTGGTTTCATCAGTATCAATGTACAAAAAATATCCCTTCAGGCTGATGCTTACCGCAATCAGTACAGACATATTCCTCAGAAGTCTTGAGCTTCTTTTTCTTGTCGCCTGTTCGTGGGTCTCGCTCCATCGGAATTGCAATACCCGCGTCACCCTTGATTAAAGTTGGGCTTGCGTTTCCCGTTGTGATTCCCCTGCTTCGTTCGCCTTCGATATATCGTAACCCCGTGAGCATCTCGATCGTGTCCGTGTGAGAAGCTCCTTCAAAACGTGCCATCTTCTCTTTAAGGGAATCTTGGCGATTGCCACCTGACCCCTCGAGGTTCTCGCGCGTGAGCGCTTTGTTGAGGGCCATTCGATTGGCCTCCGTCATCCCTCTTTCACTACTCGGGCGGTAGAAGGTGCTTGACGATACGCCTGTTCCTTCAGAGGGCGTCATGTCTGAACGACCCTCCTGGCTCTGCATCCATTGTTTCTGCGCCTCGTCATTCTCGGCCTCCTCTTCGCGACGAAGCTCGGCGATGCGTCGTTTCAATCGTTCGTTTTCGATCTTATGCTCGAGAAAGGAGTCCAAAAGTCCAGCGTTTTTTGTCGGATACGGACGCGCCATCATAAACACAGCTTGGCAGAAGGGCGATTGATTATTGGGGTTCGGGGCGAACTTAGCGCCAGCAATATGAGCATGGCCGACGGTCTCAAAGATCGCATATTCGGCATCCTTCTTCTTGAACCGGTAGAAGAGTCGAAGGGGGTTGCCAGACGCGATGGATTCGTTGAGTTCTGCGACAAAGACACCTTGGTCATCTGGGTGGATCAGATCCTTAAGAAAGACATCTTGAATCTCGTCCACGCTATATCCGGTAACCTGTAGAATACTTGGTGACGCGTATTTGATGCGGCCATTGGCATCAAGAATCTGCAAAAAATCTCTGAGCTCCTCCACAACTTTGGCGGGCCAGTTTCTTCGCTTGGTGAATTCAGTGAGGGTGCTGGCACCAGCGAGATTCATCTGTGCGAACGCGCCAGCTGGGAGGGGCCCTGCGCCAGGCACGTTGTTGGCTGCAGTGTTGAATTGATTTTCAGCTCTCGCAACAGACTCCTCTGTAGATGTTTGACCATTTCCAAAGGAGCCGTTCATGTTGGACTCATCGGCAGATTCGAGACTCATAGAGACGTCGTCTACTATACCGCCAAGCATATTATTATCGAGCATTGACATAAGATCGTTATCTTGACCACCAGCGCCCATCTACAAAATCGGGTTAGCCGGCATGATCGCAGATTGAGTTTGCGATGACCTGAGCCAAGGAGAGGGAACGCTATAGGGCCGCAGCCCCGGCTACAGTATCGCAGGGGAGGGGATGGGTATTGACCTGGCCACCTGTCATGTCAGGGAGAGAACCGATATCGAGATTGAAACCGTAGAAGTTGTTGAAGTTGTTTTGGTGAGGGGTGCCGTGAGGCGGAGGAGGTCCGTGAGACATGGTTATTATGGTTGCGTTTGCGGCCTGTCGAGTGTGCTTGATTGCATTGGCAAAGGCCCAAGAAGGGTAGTTCCAGTTGCCTCTGGCGTGGCTGTAAACCTTCGCTTCAGTGCTATGCTCAGTGGATGCCACAGCGACAGCGACAGCGGTAGGAGCTCAGGTTCGGTTGTCGAATTGGATAAAGATGGCGGTTTGATAACGTTGATATCATGAGTGAAAACACTCCAAAAGGCCATGAAACAGATATTGAAAGATTTCGGGTTGTTCGAGTCGAGATCGTAGGGGGAGATTTTCTGTTCTAAGTTATATGGTCTTTAGTGTGGTTTAGAAAAAAACGCTTCTTAAACACAGCAGGTAGATAGACGGCTGACCTTTCCCTGCAAGCTTTCCCCACGAAGAAACAAAGCGTAATACTAGACTTAATTGTAATCGAGGAACAAAAATTCTAAAGAGAATCCTAGAAAACGCCTGTCGGGAGTCAGAAAAGATTCGAGCGGACGATGGCATCATGGAAGAATAGGGCGAAGGGAGAGGGGTCATTGAGTGGAAGTCATAAGAGGGAATGTTGTACGATATGTACAGAAAACTCAAGTTACCTGTCTGATTGACTGGACCCTGGAATAAAGCAGGCGTCTGACGCATGACGACACCAGGCAGATAAGTTATGTGAAAGAATCAAAATATAGAAAAGTTTGGATAGACATGTCGAGAGGGATGGGATAGGACAGAATAAAATGAGATAAAGAAACGATACGACACGACACGACATCAAAAGTTGCAATTCATCTAGGCAGGTAGGCACTTACAGGTAGCGTTATGAACAAAGGACAGCCCGCTTTGTTTGTCAAGCCAAACCAAAGCTCGAGATCGTTTGGTATGCCACAGATCGTTCACAGCAAGAGACGGGAGCGAGTTTTATTATTTCCCCTTTACTTTTGGATCGGATGACAGTCGCAGCAGGGTACCTAATGTACGCAACCAAGAGGTAGGTAACTAAGACACTACAAGTATTACAAGGCAAATGTAGCAGCGGGTTAACACAAAACATGGCACTTTTGCAAAACTGGATTCTTACAGACATGGGATTTTGGGCATGAAACGTCACCTCTTGTGCCCGAAGCCTCTCGGCAGGACTCCCTGTCTTGTCTTTAGCTTGCTCAACTCTACAGCCAATACAGAGCCTTTGACCGGAGGTTCTACCCCGAGAAAAGCGGGTTGACTGCGTCAAGGAGTGTCTCCGGCCATATTCATTGGATGCTATGGAAGCATGGATCTTCTTAGGGTACCCTTAGGCTGTCTTGGAAGTTGGAGGGTTTGAAGGGTCCAGCAAGTAGTGGAATAGTTGACTGCTCATCCACAGTGGCTTACTACTAAGGGAGATAGCTTACAATGTTTCTATCTCATTCAAGCCGCAAATACTTCATAGTGGGATTTCGATTCTCCTATGATTTCATGATTCCTGATTTGCTTAGTTCTCAGGGGGATCATCGCGGGGCAGTTCTGGGGTCCCATCATAATCTGGTTGGTATACATATCGAAAATATCGCTTCTGTCAAGACGCAGAAGCAATGTCTTTCATCGTCGTCAACCATCAATACACATTAGTCGCGACACAAACTCGAAAACCCATTGTCGGCTTTTTCCATCATACTTGCACATATCAGCTGTCAGGCTATGTTTTCTTCGTATCTCAACCAAAGAAATCCACTGTGGTAACAACCTTGTGTTACAGTATTTATCACCTCTCAGCCTCTACAAGTTTGGTAGTAGGGGCAGCTAGTGCTCTCTCCCCACTCTCTCAATCAGGTAGTGTTCAATGCACACCTACTTGAATTCTTTTTTAGCCTAGGCCCATAGCCAAGCATTTCCTAGAGACTGACGGTCTGGCCTGTGGGTTCACAATGGGGTGGCGTTGGGACTTACGACTGGTTTTATTTCGCCACAGACCGTTCAGGGTCCTTGAAACTTGTCCTCGATCCTCTGACGTCGAAAAGACGTAATCCTTTAGACGTTTTTATTGAACTGCAGAAACTTCGAGCAGTTGTCATGTTGTGCCTCGAGATCATGACAGTATGGTGTTAATATCGCCAAAATTTCGTTCGCATAACGTCTGAAACTAACTACTACTCCAAATTAATGATTAGTGAACATGCACCCTATACGGGCAGGCAGTTCGCCGTCCATAGAATCTGTCCATTTGAGATAGCTGCCGCTGTTTTTCGGGGGCATGTGTAGTACATACCGCCGTTCGCCAAAACCAGGGCGAAACTTTGATGCACGTGCTCACGCATCGGCTATTCTCAACCCCAAACCTCTCAACGCGTCTTCTCTTTCCTTTGTCGCGTTACCCGTCAAATCCGCTGGCTGCCTGGTCCAAGCTAGCGCAACACTCTGAAAGTCACCCACCTGTGATATCGACTTTTATGTGATTTGTATGCTACAGTTCTCAGTCTGTAGATGAGTCAATCGACAAGGTCCTAGTCTTTGTACCTGTCACGTCCCCTAATGTGGTAGTTATCATGTCCAGAATCGACAAGCTTTCGATTTCGGGTGTCCGATCTTTTAGCCCTTCTGTTCGAGAGGCTATTCAGTTCAACACCCCTCTAACTCTCATTGTGGGTTACAACGGCTCCGGTAAAACGACGATTATCGAATGTCTGAAGTATGCAACCACGGGTGAGTTGCCGCCCAACAGCAAGGGCGGCGCTTTCATCCATGACCCCAAGGTGCTTTCACGGACTTCCATTCTTGATGTGCAACATGCCTGCTAATGCATTGCAGCTTTGTGGCGAGAAAGAGGTTATGGCCCAAGTGAAACTACAATTTCGATCCATCAACGATCGTCAACATGTCGCGACCCGAAGTCTACAGCTTACTGTCAAGAAGACAACCCGATCTCAGAAAACCCTAGATTGTTCCCTCGTCGTTGTGAACAATGGAGAACGAACAACCACATCAACTCGACAGGCCCAGCTAGACGAGATGATACCGGAACGTCTTGGCGTTTCGCCTGCAATTCTCGATGCTGTCATTTTCTGCCACCAAGACGAGTCTCTCTGGCCCTTGAGTGAACCAGCCGCCTTGAAGAAACGGTTCGACGAAATATTCGAGGCTATGAAATATACCAAAGCCATCGACAATCTCAAGGTTCTTCGAAAGAAGCAGGTTGAACAGTTAAGCAAGCTCCAGAATGACGAGGCTCACAACAAGGTAAACAAAGATCGAGGTGACCGTGCAGAAAAGAGGATGAAGGCCTTACAAGCTGAAATTGAGGGGTCTCGTGAGACTTGCGAGTCCATCAGTGCCGAAATGGAAGAAACCCAAGAGAAAATCAGGACCACTCGGGAAACGGCAAACAGTCATCTTGCGATCGTGCAAAACCTCGACACAAAGCGCGAGCAGCTTGAATACAGAGAAGAGGCAGTTAAAGAGTTGAAATCCACTATTGAGGAACTTCCCGATGATGACGGCAACTTGGAAAGCGATCTCGCACATTATGAGGATCGTATGCAACATCTTCAAGACGAGGCCGACCAGAACAAGGCTCAGTATAACGAGTTGCAGAATGAACTGGGACAATCCCGAAAGGAATTATCTACTAAGCTTTCCGAACAAGGCAAGCATCAGTCAGACAAAGACAAATATGAACGTCAATTAAAGATACGAAAGGAGATGATCCAAGAAGCCGCTCAGTCTTATGGCTTCTCGGGCTTTGACGGGGATCTATCAGACAACCACGTCAAGTCATTCAATGATCGCCTTCAAAAACTCCTTACTGAGAAGAAAAGGGACTTGGAGCGCTTGCAGAAGGAGAACTCTGCCGAGTTGGACCGGGCTACCGGTGTCATCACCGAACTAGAGGGCCGCAAAGCTGCCCGCACTCAAGATCGCGTGTCAGCCAAACAACGAATGAGCGCCATTGAAAAGCGCAGTGCAGTACTGCAGAACGAGTCGAGCCAGATCGATGTTGACGAGGGTGCTAAAGCTGTACTCGATGGGCAGATGCAAGATCTTGATAGCAGGTTCCAAACAGCCCAAAAGACCTTTGAAAATGCGGATTGGGACCGGCAGCTATCGGACGAAAATGATAAGCTGCACTCACTGGAGAGTGATAACGACAGACTTGGTAGAGAGCTCGTTGAGTGCACTCGCCTTGCGTCCGAAAGAGCCCAGCTTGACTACAGGAAGAAGGAGCTTACTGACCGTAAGCGCAAGCTTGACACCCTAACAAGTACCTGGAAGCCGAAGCTGGACAAGGTCCTTGGTAGTGATTGGGAGGCAGAAACGTTGGAATCCAAGTTTCAAGCATTGGTTAAGGACCAGAACAAAGTGGTTACTGAGGCTCAGAAACGGCGCGATCAGACCCGGCAGAAGCAACAAAAAGTAGATTTTCGTTTGAGGACAGCCAAAGAGTCCTGCGATAAGAAGTCCAAAGAAGCAGCTACTTGTCAACAACAAGTGGTCAACGCCCTTCTCACGGTCCGTGACAACGCTATTGTCGATGACTACAAAGAAGAAGTGGAGGCTGCTGAATCACAGGTCGAGGAACTGCGCAATGACCTCAGTCTCTTCGACGCACTCGTGGACTACTACACCAAATGTAAGCGTATGCTAGACACGAAGCGAAAATGCTTGCTCTGTGATCGTCACTTTGATGAGAATCAAGCTGCGAGCATAGAACGGCTGAGCAAGAGGATAGACAAGCATCTTGACCCGAAGGGTAAGGCCGACACAGAAAAGGATCTCAAGGAGATGGTCTCTAGTCTAGAGAAGCTGCGATCTGTGCGCGGTTCTTACGACACATACGAGCGATTGACGGCCGAACTGCCTTGTCTTCGCGAAGAGTGCAAGACTGCAGAGGCAGAATTTGACACCTTGGAAAGGCAAGTTGAAGAGCAAGCGTCCGTTGTATCTGCTGAGGAGGAGAAGCAGAAAGATCTGGAGGACATGTCCAAGACTGTTTCCAACATTGGGCAAACCGTCAAGGACATTGCCGAGTCGGAAACCCAGGTTGATCGTATTATGTCTCAGCAGATGTCAGGCGGAGCAACTCGAAGCCCTGATGAGATTCATGAGCTTCAGGCTAGCTTGTCTGATCAGATGAGGACTTTGAAGAACCGTATCTCAAAGTTGACTACGGACCGCCAACGTACAAAAGATCAACTCAACTCCCTTGAGCTGGAAAAGAGTGAGCTGAGGAACAAAATCAGCCGGGCAGCGGGACAACTGGACAAGAAGCAAGACCTGCAAAACCAGATCCAGGCACTGAAGGAAGAAGTCTCTCACCAACGAGATGTCATTCAACGCGCCGACGAGGAGTTGGAGACAATCGAACCCAGCATTGCAGAGGCAAGGTCTGCACGTGATGAAGTTCTCCGACGCGGTCGGGCTAAGGAACAGGTCATTGTCGACGCCCGTGACAACGTCGCAAACTCGGTTAATGAGATGAAGATGATGGATGCAGATATCCAGGGCTACATCGATCGTGGTGGTCCCTCCAACCTGGCATCCAACCAGAGAGCCATTGCCACACTTGAGAAGACAATCGCGAGTACCGAAAAGGAGGTTGCAGATCTCACGGTCCGTACAAACAAGCTGAAGCAAGACATTGATAACGGAGATCGGAAGAAGAAAAACATCAAGGACAACCTCAACTATCGCAAGAATCTTCGTACCATTGATGTCATTCGTCAAGAGATCGCCGAGCTGGAGGAGCGCAATGCTGACGAGGACTATGAACGTCTTCAAGCTGAAGCCCGGATGCAAGAAAATCATTATAATCGTCTCCTGGCAGAGCGTGGCTCCGTGATGGGAACTATGAAAACCAAGGACGAGGAGCTTGGAAGACTGCTTCAGGAGTGGGAGATGGATTACAAGGATGCCAAGAAAAAGTACCGAGAGTCGCATATCCGGGTGGAGACGACCAAAGCTGCTATTGAGGATCTGGCCCAGTGTAGCTCGGCTGTTGACAAAGCTGTGATGCAATTTCACTCGATGAAGATGGCTGAGGTGAATCGTATCGCCGGCGAACTATGGCAGAGCACCTATCAAGGAACCGACATTGATACAATCCTCATCCGTTCGGATAATGAGTCACAGACAGGCAAACGCAACTACAACTACCGGCTCTGTATGGTGAAGCAAGACACCGAGATGGACATGCGTGGCCGATGTTCCGCTGGACAAAAGGTGCTCGCATCCATCATCATTCGTTTAGCACTGGCTGAATCATTTGGTGTCAACTGTGGTCTCATTGCATTGGACGAGCCCACGACCAACCTGGATCGCGACAACATCAAGAGTCTGGCAGAGAGCTTACACATGATTATCAAAGCTCGTCAGGCTCAGAGCAACTTCCAGCTCATTGTCATCACTCACGACGAGGACTTTTTGCGACATATGAGGTGTAGCGATTTCTGCGACAGTTTCTTCCGCGTCCGGCGCGACGAGCGACAGAACAGTGTTATTTCGAGAGAAAGTATTACCAAGATATTTTAATCAGGCACATGCAGGTCAAACAGAGAAGAAGAGGGAATCGGCAGTGGATGAATATGTAATTATACAGGGATCTTGCAATCCTCGAATATTGGGACGGGCGTTATGAGATAGTTTGAAATGAAATAATAGCACATAGTATCTTCCATCGAGTCTTTCTGTGTTGGATGCCGATCTGATAGCTGTATGTAAGTTCTGGTGCTTGGCTTTATTCAGAAGGTTGTAAGATGGTAAGTCTGGAAATACGTAAAAGTTTACGGAATTATGCCCCGGTGATAATATCCGTACTCCACACCACCTACTCCTTCCCTCTCAATCTCATTCTCGGTGTCGTTGACGTCTTTATTTTCACTGCAATGGAATTATTTCTCCACCCTCCACGAGTCGACGACCCGGCACCTTTCCGCCGAATTACTCTGATTTCGGTCTCGCGCCTCGGATTTAACAAGTTACTCAGACATTCTATCCCTGGTCCTGTTCTGCGATTTAGTTAGTTAGATACTTACCTAGTCATGGACCGTTCTCGGTGGAGAAAGAATCACAATGGCCTTGTTCATCTCATCTCGTCTCGTCCTCTGATCTCTTTCATCCATGCATGCACACTTTGCTTGAAAGGTATCCTTACATATTCGTGCATAGTGAACGCATATGAACTGTACAGCAGGGAGTGCGCTTCCAATACTACAAAATCACTGATTAGCAATCACTAATCGGTCAACGCCGGCCCCCGGACAAGGGTCCCTACAGCTACTACGTCGACGATTCTCAACTTTGATTCCAAACTGCGAAAGGGAGAGAGAAGGATTTCTTTTACTTCATCCATCAGTAGCCTCGCAGGCTCACAACTTGCACGGCAACGATGGCCATCTCAGCGCCGACACCAGAGCATAGGACCAGTTCGGACAGCACTCTTGATGTGGAAAGAGATGGGATAAATGTAGGCTCAAACGACCCTGCAGCAACAGCCGAAGCAACCGCAGATGGAGCCGCGACCGCGCCGGCCGGCAGCAGCACCTTACCCGGAGCACCTGGGGCTGGCGATCCCGAGGCCGGACGGACCAGGTCGGAGAACATCTTGATCATGAGCGCTCTGTGTCTTGCGCTGTTCCTTGCCGCTCTAGACACGACCATCATTACCACCGCGGTTCCCACTATTGCCAATGAGTTTAACTCGAGTCAAGGTTATGTCTGGATAGGGACTGCCTATCTGCTGGGCAACGCCGCGTTTGTGCCAACATGGGGCAAGATTTCAGATATTTTTGGCCGCAAGCCAGTTATTCTCGCTGCAGCCGTCATCTTCTGGATTGGTTCTCTGCTATGTGCCGTGAGTAATGGCATGGGTATGCTCATTGCCTCGCGTGCCATCCAAGGCATTGGTGGAGGTGGTCTAATCGTGCTGCCCAATATTGCTATCAGCGATCTGTTCTCCATGCGAAACCGCGGCATGTACTTTGGTATTCTCGGCATGGTGTGGGCGTTGGCATCTGCTGTTGGGCCTATTCTCGGTGGTGTCTTTACTAGCCAGGTCACCTGGCGATGGTGTTTCTATATCAACCTTCCCATCAGCGCCATTGCCTTTGTCATCCTCGTCTTCTTCCTAAAGCTGCACAATCCTCGCACGCCAATGAAGGAGGGCCTCATGGCTCTGGACTGGCCAGGCAGTATTCTCATTATTGGTGGCACCGTCATGTGGTTGTTGGGACTCGAATTTGGTGGTGTTTCGTTCCCTTGGAACTCTGCCACGACCATTTGTCTCATCGTCTTTGGCATCTTCGTCGTTGGACTTTTCATTTTATATGAGTGGAAGGTTGCCAAGATCCCTGTTCTTCCTATCCGACTCTTCAGCTCACGGAATAGCATCGCCTCCTACGGTGTTGGCTTCACTCATGCATTCGTTTTCATGTCTGGTAGTTACTGGCTTCCGCTCTACTACCAGGGTGTTCTCGGTGCGTCGTCGCTGCTTTCTGGTGTCTACCTACTTCCGTACGTGCTGTCCCTCTCATTCGTCTCGGCTGGAGCTGGTGTATACATCAAGAAGACAGGCCAGTATAAGCTCGTCATTGTGCTGGGCCTCATTGTAACCGTTATCGGGTTTGGCCTGTTCATCGATCTCGAACCGCGCGCCAACTGGGTCAAGATTATCATCTTTCAAATCGTCGCTGGAATTGGCGTAGGCCCCAACTTCCAGGCCCCCCTGATCGCACTGCAAACCAACGTCGAGCCGCGAGATATCGGTTCCGCAACTTCATGCTTCTCTTTCATTCGCCAGCTGGGCACTTCCATCTCTGTCGTGGTAGGCGGCGTCATTTTCAACAATGAGATGGAGAAGCAGTATCCAAAACTCAAGGAAGAACTTGGCTCTGATCTCGCCAGTAGACTCTCTGGAGCCAACGCAGCAGGCAGTGTGGAGCTTGTAGGGTCGTTGACAGGAGAGGACGGCAGGGTGGCCAAGTCGGCGTTTTGGAACAGTCTGCGAACCATGTACATTGTGTACACGTGCTTTGCTGGTCTATCCCTCGCCATCAGCCTGATGATCAAGCAGGTCAATCTTAGCAAGGAGCACCAGGAGCATAAAACCGGTCTCAAATCGCTAAAGCGACGCGGCGACGAAAAGAATGAAGCTGAAGAGGGAGAGGGTATGACTGCAGGTAACGAAAAGACTACAGACAATTAAAAGGTCGGGACAGGGTTTGTTTAAAAAAGAGGCTGTGCTCCTAAAACAGCGTGTATTTAACTCATTATAAATTGGCAATATTACATTTCAACAATGAATGTACGCATTAGTCTATTTAATCATATTCAACTTAAAAGAGCTTTTCGCCTTCCTCGACAGTCCTCTTCCACTCTTCATAATCAAAACCAAGGTCCTCTAATCTCCTCAGCTCGTGCCTCTTGTCGCCCGCTGCTCTACTTGCCAACTTAATCTTTGGCACTCTCTCCCGTACCCACCTCTTGTCCAGTCCCCAGTATGGAGGTAACTTGCCTTGTCCTTCATTCTCGAGACCCAATTCAGGAGCTCTTGGTGCCTCCTTGCTTAGCTCATGCATGCGGTTGACGTAGTCGACGTCTTCAGGGAAAACCATGACATGTATCGCCTTGCCTTCTCCTTTCTTCTCATGCTGATCTTTCACCCATGCCTCCATTGCGACTTCAGATGGGGGGCTCAAACGGCCAGACCACATACGAGCAATCACGGCGCTCTGTGCCTCGGCTACAGGGAAAGGGACAATTCGTTGCGGAACGCTGAGAAATGAGAGGGTTGGATCTGCAGCGTAGAGAATGTGTTCCCAGAGATGTGCAGCGTGCCCGCCACTGGGTACAACTACAGGAGGATCGAGAGATTTGAGAAAAGGGTACGAATAATGGAAGCCAGTACAGAAGATCACAGCGTCAATATCGTTCTCGATTTGGCCGTTGGCGAAGCGGACACCGCGCTGCTCGGGGAGGAACTCGACGATCTCAGGAACGCCGGCTGCCCATGGCTCTTTTGCAGGGGTGATCACAGTTGATTTTTCCTTTTCAGAGACAAAGATTGGGTGCTTTGCAACATTGGCAAGTTGCGCGCTCACATCGACGCCAGATGCAGAGTTACCAACAACAATGACTTTCTACTTGATCGTGAGCAAACTGTCCCAAAAAGAGAGCATGTCAACATACCTTGTCCTTAAAGTCGTTAGGTCTTCGGTAGAATTTGGAGTGTGAAATGACACCCGAATATTTCTTATCGAACTCGATGAGCCCGGCAATGTCGGGGATGAAAGGATCATTGTAATGTCCACTCGCCACCACAACAGCGTCATAGTCATCTTTGATGACTTTGTTGGACTTCAGGTCAAGCACCTCAACTGACCATGGCTGTGAGCGATCTAAACTCGGTTTCTCAATGTTCAAGACCTGAGTTTGATAAGAGACATGAGGAGTGATCTCTTGAGCGTAGTCTTTGAGGTACTGTAGGACAACGCTATGGCGAGGAAATAAAGATGAACCCTGTGGGAACTCCTTATCGCTGTAACTCATGAGTGAATGTGGAATGTTGGTCTCAAGAAGATCATAAATAGGAGACATGAACTCTACATCCCCATGCTCATTGGGCCAAAGAGCTTGATCCGGCGCATAACTGGGTTGAGTTCTGGGAACCGAGAAGCCCTGTTCGCGGGCTAGAGGTGTGTAATTCCAGACGCCGCCTGCTGTGGCACGTTGCTCAAAGATGCGGACTTTGGAGAACTTCTTTTCTGCGAGAAGGTATCTGTGGGGGTCGTCAATTAATGATTGGACTTGACTTCGATGTTGAGGGTTGTTACTTGGCAGCTGCAAGGCCGCTAGGGCCAGCACCTATGATGGCAATGCGACGAACGTCGAGTTTATCTGCCAGAGCCATTATTTCAAGATTTGACGTGTCCTCTGAAGCAGGTCAAGAAGGAAGAATATATGTTGTAGATTTATGCGATGTTGAGACTGTTCCAAGTCATTGGGATAGAGTAATCATCTAACAATAATATCGTCATATGTTTGAGCAATAGATGAGAGAGTGAGTCGAAGTAGGTCAAGGCAAAAAAAAAAAAAAAACATTAGATCTTCAAACATAATTCCTCCAATATTCTTATAAACAGCTTCCCTTCCGATTTGACAGCTGATACCAAAAGCTGCCGATGGATTCCGCAAAATAGCCTCACTACTAACTCACCCATTTACAGGTCGAATGATTGCCTAATTAGATGGTGTTGCCGTTTTCGGTAATCCCGGTCGGCCTCCGCGCGACTCCGACTCCGGGCATCGGAGCCAGTCCGCCGCCGCCAGAATCTCCTTCCGTTTTAAATAACCATTGCTTATTTCCTTCCGGGTGGGCTTGAATGGAAATAACGACTTGGTGATACCCTCAAATTCATTATATTTCTCTCACATCTTGGGACGTTTTGCAGATAATCAGGTCAATACTTTTGCGGCTCTGCGGATTGCCCTTTACCGTTAGCTAGAGACTTCATACAGGGTAATGGTAACATCCCTTTCTCAAGCACGCAATCTGGTCTACCTTCATTGGCTTAATCAACAGCAGCCATGATGGCGAATCTTTCCTGGTTCCACGAACCATTCCCTAAAGCTCTATCTTATCGTTGAATGAAACGATTGCGAGTTTTCTTCGTCTGCTTTCTTGTTGAAAGATATCTGATCCAAAATCTCATTCAAGAGACAACTCATACATTGACAACGCCTATCACCCTTCTTGCCTGTCAGAACCTACTTGTGCCAATCATGCCAATAGAAAGAGCGGCAACAACCCAAAATGGCATCTGAAATGAAGGCCTCAATCCACCGCTTCCGCCTCCGCAGACTGTCCCCATCTCCTGGGGCCGTCGGTCGGGCCCGGTCCGCTTCACCTCCTGCGTCAGCTGACCAACGAGAAGCGCAAACCCGTGGGCAGCATCATACTTCTGTCACTCAACAATCATCTGGCGCTCGCACTTCAAGTGCAAAAACCACTGCGCCAGCCTGTGATCGCTGCCGCAGCTTTAAAAAGAAGTGTAGCCGTACCTTTCCTGTCTGCTCTCTTTGCGCCACTGCTGGTCAGCGATGTTCGTATACCAGCCCAATAGCCAACGCTGAGGCTCAGATACACCAGTTGCGCTCTCGGGTAGAATGGTTAAGCCAGTATATTGATCAAAATCTACTGCCACCAGGTCCACAGGGTAGGATAGGTGGGATAGAGACAGGAGCTGATTTGGTGAGCATACTTGGCCGAGGGTCACATAATAATACAGGAACCATTGCCAACCCAGAAATCACATCACCTCACTTCTCACGAGTGTTAGGCCCGAAAACTCCTCCACTAGATGCAACTGCTGCCCAACCTCTGTTACACAGCCGTGATGAGGTGTTGGCAGGACAGCAAAATGCTGAGATCCGCGTGGAAGAAAGGGATCCGGGCAGTGTGCGAACCACCAGTAGCCACTTCTCACCGTACCAGGGATCAACCGAGGGATCAACCACGAGACGAAGGTTGATCGCTCGGCAGGCTTTACCTCCTGATATTGCCCCGTGCCGCTTCATCGATGCCTTCTTCCGCCACGTGAACAGGGCGTACCCTTTTGTCGACCAGGCGAGAATACGGCGAGATCTTGAGACTCTAGGGGATGCGTCGCCTGCGGATCAAGATCCGCCCATGACATTGCTGTATCTCGTCATGGCGATTGGATGCACATCGCTCGTGCGAGCCGGGCAGATCCCAAGCGACACAGCTCGGCAGTTCGATGTAGTTTATCCAGATATCATCCAAGAGTGTCTCTGCAGTGAGAGTATTGAGTCGGTGCAGATCCTTGTCCTGTTGGGACTGTACTCCCTTTTTGATCCGGCAGCGACCTCTGCGTACTTTATAGTTGGTATCGCAGCACGGCAGGCCATGGTCATCGGCCTCACTCGTCCGGACGAGAAGCCACGGACAGCAGTCGAGACTGAACTCGGACACCGGTTGTATTGGAGCATATTCGTCTTGGACCGCATGATGTCGGCGTCTCAGGGCCTCCCAGCTGCTTTAACAGACGAACATGCCGATGTTCCGCTCCCCGGCCTCACAGTAGAAGAGTTTGCTGGCCCAGACAGAGCAACGTATGCTCGCAATTTACAGACTAGTCGCCATATTATTCAACTCAGGCAACTGGAGTATCGAATTCTAGACACTGTACATTTTCAGCGGAACGCCGAAACCTCGCGCCTGGGTCCTGCAGATAGACGGGCAATACTGAACAACTTACGGTCCGAAATAGAAAATTGGTATAGTAGTGGCTGTCTCATGTCACCGATGGAAGCAGATAACCTGCCTATCCATAGTAGCATTACCTGGTTGAGTGCACAGTATTACCACTTACTTGTTTTCCTTTACTTCCCAAATCACTTCAACAGTTCGGTTTCACCGCCAGCTGTTAGTCGAAAAGAACAGCTGGAATTCGCCAGCAAACAGCTCCAAGCCAACTCGGCACTTCTCCAACAACGCCAATTACCTCTGAACAGGGTCACGTTGAGTCGGTTACTGCCAGTGGGGTTGATATTGATGTCTGGTTTTACAGCTGGTCAAGGACAACCCTCTTTCGTAGCTCAGAACGAGCTTACTATTCTTGTCACACTTCTCGAAGCGTTTCCACCAGGATGGACAACGGCACAAGAGGCAGCCCGAACCATGCAGCAATTTGTGGATATTATGACAGGACAAGGGGGTATGGTCACGTCGTTTTTTGGCACAGCAACTGGGGAAACGATGGAAGACTTGGTTAGGCCATGCATTGTCAGCTTCACGGAATTGTTGCATCAGTTCCTGGGTAAGGCGACATGCTTTCAATCGATTGAGTATTCTCAGGAGGTACAAGGTGCTGAGCAGATGAGTCAAGTCGGCGTTGCAACCCAGCAACAATCATCGGCTAATGCATTGTGGTTGAATGGAGCAGATTCAGATGATGCTGGCGTAAACGAGGAATCGGTGCTAGGGTATGGATGGGGTTCGTGGGATCTTGATTTCCTTTAACGAGGCTCCGGAGAAAGTATGACAGGGTTCATTCATTGACAGTAACAGTTCATACCTAAATAGGCCTTGTTATTTCTTTCGGGGTGACGATCTTGAGAAGTGTTTACATTGTTAGGAACATAGGAGATATACTGGGAATCTCGGGAATAATAAATAAGATCGGCGTTCATTGTGCTATTTTCTGCATATAATTGTCCTAAATTTAGTCGCTGTCCCTGATCTTCATAGCATCCTGGTTTAAGAAAATTCACTGTGTTCACCGGTTGGTTTGACTTGCACCAATCAGAGATATTGGGTTCAAGGTCGTTCGTTATACGTTAGACAGTGGCCGGATAGCAAAGTCAATTTTTTATTTAAGCAAAGTAAATGCCATTCATTCCAACGGCGACACAGCCGCATGTCATCAAGCTGTTGGGTTGGACAGGTCTCAAATGACCAGTGAAGAAACGATCTAACAAAGAGGCTCTGCTAGCCCTATAGCGTAGCTGCCCTCCATGTTGAATTAAAGAAACATGGATGCACACCACCAAAAAAGCTTGGCCAAGTTAGTCTAAGATAGTTATTATGCGAGAATCGCGGTTAACAGTCTTGAAAAGGAGATGTGCTGTAGACTAGCAAGGTGTAGGCTTAGGATGGGGATGACGACGACTGCAATAACAACAAGGTGGGGGCTTTTCAACTGCTGACATGCATTCGCTTTTATTAACAAAACTCGCTGATTGCTACAGAAATGGGACATGCCGTATCGTATCCAGAGTCTTTGGCATTGTCCATTGGCCGCGCGGTTTTATTTATGGAATTATAAAATGTGGATCAGTAAAGAGATTACCACTGCAACGTCTTATGCTAGGAACGGTATCCTTGGGCCGTTTTGCCGTACAGTCAGCAGTTGTGGAAGAAGAAATAGTAAAAAGTCAAATAAAGTTACCTTGTCTGGAAAGGCACCTGAGAGGGAGCATAATAATAGATATGCAGTGAACCGTGAGTTGATGATTGTCAGATCGAGCTTGTGCCATACTATACCCAGTAAAGCGAGATGCAGGAGATAAATTCAGGTTTTTGGGTGATATGATGGTGGCTGAATTGCATCTGCATCTGCATCTGCATATCAAAGAAAGGCAAAGAGTTTCATAGAAGGCATTCAATTGACAAAACCAGTTTGCACTAATGTATTTTAATGTTATGTAGACGTAGAGGTATCTGTCTGAGGGCCTCATATGTCATGTCACATCATGACATGTAAGTAATCACGTTATCAAAAAACAGTGTCAAAGTTAGTGATTTCTCTTTTGTATGAAGTGACCAAAGATGGAGTGTGATGCGGTCCCAAGACATGGCTCATGCAAGGTTAAAGTGGCTGTACCCGTACGGACTGGGCTGAGTCCGACGGACATTTTGTATTGCATGGTCCTGCGTATTGGATGTTATGTGTGGGCTGGCTTTTAGGTGACATTTCCTCGGGTGGCAGGCAATTTGCACTAACAATGGGGACTTTTCTACATGATACCTATTGCACTGCCGCAGCCCTCATTTCTGCTAGAGTTATTACTGGTACAGGCATTCATTCCCTCAGCAACAACCCAACCCAGCCCTCCTTGACACTGTATGTCATACCGACCTAGTTCTGAAGATGACGATGCTAAGATATGCTGTGCTATGTCATTCGATAATTGTTTCTGGTTTTATTCGTCATGCTCACAGTGACGGCCTCCCATGAATCTTTTATTTTATTTTAGCACAGCCATTAAGCCCGGCATTTCCCAGTATACTTAGCTGGAGAGGAGGTATGTGGGTGGGCAAGGCTGATTTGGTTCATCCACACAGTACCTGTACTGCAGTAACTAGTGCCGACAGACAAGTAGCTTTCCACACACAACGTTGTCCAAACCTAAAGCTAAGGCGACGTTAGAGGCGGGATGCTGCGTCCCGTCTCTGTGGTTCTCTCCACACGCCAACTGTGCAGTTACTGTCTGTCAGTTATTGTACGTAGTGTAGCCTTGGCTTGAACTGTATGATTCCTTCATCTCCTGAGGGGTTTTCTCTCTCTTCATCTCCGAGTCTTGGCCTGCTGCGTCATGATGCCAGGATTGGTATTCATCGTCGTCTTCTGTTGCAAAAGACAAGACAATGTGAGACAATCTGGACAGTCCAGAAACCAAGAAAAACCCTCTCCCAATTGAGTAAATCTAGCAGCATCTTTAGAGCCACAAGACTCCACCGTCAGTTATCGGGCACCCCAGGAAAAAAACGCCTGAACCCCTGGAACACTGTGCTCGGGGCAGCCCACCCTTGAAGTGAACTGCCCGTCCCAGCCCAGGCTTTCTTTCTTTCCCTCTGTATACGGAGTACCCAGCCTGACTGGATCAGACCTATGGAGACCTGGATTCTCTCTTGGCCCACACCCTGCCTGGGCTGTTTCAGCACTACTAACTTGACTTGCCCATCTGGTTCAAGCTGACATCCATTTTCTTTCTTTAACGCTTGGGCTGTCTTCTTCTCTCCATTCGTTTTGTTCCGTCTCATTTCTCTCTTCTCATCAACATCCATTCTCATCCTTATTAATCAACAACCCCCGGCCTGACCGTTTTCAGTCACCAGTGAATCAATCCTCGCAATCGCGTCGACGTCTCTCGCTACTCTTCCATTTCCATCAGCTCGCGACTCCTTTTTGTCGGATTCGATTTTCGCATACGCCTTATCTATCAAGTCAACAACTCATTTCCGGGGCAGCACCCGCGTGAGCTGCTGTGCCTTAATTTGGACATACGACCGCCCCGAATTAAATCGCCGCGTCGCTATCGCATCTGACTGAAAGTCTCTTGTTCTCATCAACCATCGTCCGTCGAACGTTATCGACGAGCGTTTTCATTTCTTCTTCGACTTATCTCGCCGTGACTCCGGGGCCGGAGTCTCTTCCATGTCTGTCATGACTACTCGATTGGACTCTCGCAAATCGCTTCTAGGGGCGGACAACGGCTACGGATACGGCCACTCGTACAACAACTCATACGACAACAGCTACGCCCCATCTCCTGTTCCATCGCCGCAGCCCATCCCTCAACCTCCCGCATTCCAGGCCGCCGTTGAGCCAACATACAACCAAGGTTTCGCCTACCGGGAAGGACTCACTCCTTCTGTTCCTCCACAAAGTATGAAGAACGGCAAGATCGATTTCATGAAGAGCCGATGGCCGGCTTGCTTCATGGCTGTTTCTCTCCTGCAGGCCGTCCTCTGTATTTGCTTCGAAGCGTACGTCATGTCCGACACCTAATTCTAACGACCGTGTTGCTAATTCTTTATTTAGATACATCTTTGGCAAATTCCAGGTCAACCTTGGTGCTCATAACCCCGATCCCGAAGTTCAATCTCAGTACAAAACTATTCCTACTTTCCTGACGCTCTTTATTTTCGGATTCCTTTACACTCTCGTTGTTGTTTGGGATGCTCTTCGCCAAAAGAACACCATTCAGATCATCGGTGTCTGCTTCTCCAACCTCGCCCTCATGGTTTACACCACCATTCAAGTCGATCAAATTAAAGAGGCCTTTGACATTCTTGGTGAAAAGAACGCCCTCCGACCCGAAATGCCTGCAGCAGAACTCTGGCATGATGTGAAGCCTTACCTCGTGGCTATTCCCGCCATCATTGCCCTTGCTACCCTTGTCATGGGCTTCCTTTCTTGGAAGATCTACCAAGAGTATGCTTGGGATATTCTGAAGAACATTGGTGCTGATTATCGCATGAAGAAGCGATTCCTTCACTACCAGGTATGCTTGATTACTCATATCTCATTGGGTCATGTCTAACTTTGTTACAGATTTACATCGCTCTGCTCAAGTTCGATTTCTTCTTCTTCCTCGGCTTCATCGTTCAGTTCGTTGTCGTCGTCGCCGACAAGGATGATCCTGAATTCGCCCTGACCATTGTCACCATTCCCATCACCATTTTGATTCTCCTAGCTGCCGCTTTCTTCACCCGCCGCGAGAACAAGGCCGGCATGGTCGCTATCATTGTTCTTTACCTCGGAGGTCTCAGCTACTTCATCTTCAAGTTGGTTCGGATTTATCAACCCGGACACAAGCAAAACTACGAAGCCGTTCGCCGATCGTTGACTGCATTCGCCGTCATCACCATTCTTCTCATCCTCCTCACCATCATCAACGCCGTCGTGTGTATGCTCAACTTTGGCAAGGGACTCAAGCCTCATCTCCAGGCTTTGTCTCGCAAGCGCAAGGTTGAGGAGAAGCCCGATGTCAACTCGATCAACATGCAGGATGTCAAGCCTCAAATTCCCAGTCGCATGACTATCGATTAAGCGGCCATCAGCAAGTCGCGCGGTTCTCCACAAGCTTTTCGGGAGCACCGCTGTACAAAGACACGAATTTACGAAAGGATACAAAAAATTTCCCCTTTTCAATGGCACCAGTCACATAGGGCAGGCTCGGAATGGACGGTGACCAAACGGTGCGGCGTGAACAGAAGGCGACGAGATGATATCCCTTGGTGTCGGAAACTTGCTTGGACTTTTTATCATTTTTATATTTCTATTTGATTTGGTTGTTTTTTTGTTTCCTATGTTAGACCCAACCATTTTAGGCGTTCAATGCTCCACATGGAATGAGATCCAGGAGCCAATATCTAGTTCCTTTGTTGTTACCTTTTACTTTGTCCCTTTGGTCGGCTGGATTCTGTAGTCACATGGCCAGTTAATCCGTGGTCGGAATAAAAAAAAATAGTCAAAACTTACAATATGGCCCAAATGAATGCATATACAGACTAGTGAAATTGTGAAGCTAGAATCATGAATTCAGTGCATGACGAAAATGTGAAACCCAGAGGATTCAAACGTAATACAGGTTTCAACTTTGTGAAGCATGACTCGAGACAAAAACGTATTCACTACGCTAGGTGTTTCATTGCTTTGGCTGGATAATGATCAGCGTGTCTATGAAGCAGTCGGATTATCCCAACAAATACACACAAGAACAAGACAAAAGACCAAACGCCCGCTGTCCATTTCTAACCTCGAATCAAAGTCCAAACATTATCCCCTGGTTGTGTGCATCAAATCCTAGTGAATACCCGAGCACTCGCCCCAACGGGCACGGAGAGTCGATTCCCTCATAGTCTGATTTTAGTGGCATCCTTAAGGTGACCTTCTGTCGGGCAATAAGGGCATTTGTACCGCGCTGCCTTGATTATATTTTGCAACGACTCGCGACAAATAACGTGTCCGCAGCCCAACATCATTGGCGGGTTGTCCTGTGTCGTTTGTTCTTTGCTCACAGGGCAAACAAAAATGGGATGGTAGATCATGGACTCGGGTAGTGGCGTCTCAAAAGCCAGCTCGTTCTCTGTCGTCCATTCCGTCTTCTTCTCCTTCATGTAGGTGGTGTACTTGATCAGGCGTGGCAGAGCGATCGAACCCGCTGTGACAGCTACATAGAGAGGCGATTCAGCCGACAGGCCGAGGAGGGAGCAAAACTCGCGCGTGAAAGACATGGCGACGTCTTCAAAGGCGTCATCAGTATCGAATATGTGTTTGTACGGAGAGCCAGCGAGGTTAGATGCGTACGCCATCGCACAGCAGAGCTGTTGGATTTCTGGAAGATGACGGCCTTGGAAGCGGGTGAAGTGCTGACGAGCGTAGTTCAATGCGCCACCGAGTCCGTTTCTAACGGGGTCATCGGGCAGGCCGTTGACGGATGGCCCCTTGAACAGCCAAACGTACTGAAGCTTAATGAGCTCAAATTCAAGAGTGCTGCCTTTTGCCTCCAATTGAGTGCTGTTCGTGTTGGCCCAGTTGATGGCGGGTATGAGGTTACGGTTTTTGAGCTCTGATAGAATGTTGTACATTTCGGAGAACTTCCTCTGGAGGTGCTCCGAATGCAGACCCTCCAAATCGTCTTCCATTTCCTCCTCTTCGTCGTCGTCGTCGTCGTCCATATCGTCGTCGCCATCTTCGTCTGTACGTGAGACCGAGTGGGTTTCGCGATGGGGAGGATGGTCAATAGCCTCCTTGAGGAAAGTCGATGCAACGGAGAATTGTCCCTCTCGGAGTAGGTGCATGGCTATCGCTCTGTTAATAAGACCCGGGTGATCGGCCATTGCGTCCGTCTCCATTGGTAGTTCTCGGTGAGGCAAAGCCTGGTATTGCTATCAGATGCCATCGTACATGTAATCGAAGGGTATAGATACGAACCTTGTCAAGAGCCTTTCCGAATCCCTTTTGTGCCTTTGTCACATCCTTCAGGTCTGTTGTGATACGCTCGAAGCGAGCTTTGACTGGATTTTGGAGGGTGGTCATGACCATAGTAGCTCTATCTGGGTCTACTCAGATGTTAGAGGGTACCGCTGGTTGAGTGTGGTCTACGCACCCTGTGCGATCTGATCCCGAGCTTTAGTGAGAAGATCTAGAACATCATCTACATCATGGATCGCTGTCTTGAGGGTCTTGTTCCTCATACGCGCCAGCTCGGCCATGAGCGGTGCAAAGGGCGAGCCACGATCGTTATCGGTCGCCATGACTGTGGATTTATGCGGGGGTTTGGGTCAGTCGAGGAAGTTGTGGTGGTGGTGGTAGTACGCTTAATTTGAGACAAATATGGGGATAGTTCAATAAGCCCTTTGCAGAATCCAAGAGTTAAGATATGCGTTGGTGGTCTAGCAAAAAACGTGCCTGGGTGAACGTCTGATGTCGTTGAAGGTATGGAGCTGGACAATGACGGGAATGGCTGGACTTGCATGATACTAAGCTGGGATAACGCATGCGCAGGTTGTTATCGATATGTTATCGATAAGTCTGATACCGAGGTCGCTAGGCGATTCAGTAAAGGAGATGATGGACTCTTTTAGTTTAATTAACCCAGTGATTCGCCCATTATGATGATCTTCACTTTACAAACGATTCGCATTTCCCAACTATCACACTCACTCTACAACCTGTATTACTTTCATCCAGTTCTCATAACAACAGATACCTACCAAATACGAGTTGTGCCGAATACCATACCCCAGTCTTCCCCCAGGGGTTCACGTGGGGCCTACTTGAATTAACTGCCCCGCATATAGCTTGGTCTGCATCACAAAGATACTTTAAGTAAGGTACCCAAAGCTAAGCTAGGAGCTATTGCATCACATGAAGGCCCTGTAACTATACCTAGACACAATACCGGAAAGGCCTCCCAAGACACCGCAAGACCGCCCTTTAGGAGACAACCTCTTGCTCTTACTCACCACGGGTGAGGATGAAGCACGAGACTGCCTCTATACACCACAGGGGTCGATGACGATACCATGGCTTTCAGATTTCCAGATCCGCGGCTGCGAGTCGACGATGAATACTTGACCGGCACCACCGTCAAAGGGCCTGTCGCCCGTACGACAACCACTTCAAACTCCAGCACAACACGAGAAAGTCCTCCTAATGGAATCCTACCGATAGAAGTGTCCGCATACAACGAAGCTACAGACGCCCAACCCGTCCCTTCACCAAAGCGCAAAAACATTGTTTTTGCGGACCCTTTTGCGTTTCGGTAGGTCCCCTTTAACCCAGCCCTCTGCAACAGGTTCCATTACTAACACTATGGTAACAGATATCTCGAAGAAGATAGCAATGTTGTCGTCGTCGAGCGTCGAGGTGTCTTGTGCGGATACGAGTCCTATTTAGTCGAGCAATGGGCGTGCTCTCGAAAACCACCGACACTTTTGATCGTTACTTATACTGGAGATGAGAAGCATTCAGTTGTTGTCAGCGTACTCTCTGTACCCGTGGACGAGAACCTCTGGCCTCCGAGATTAAAATTCTATTTCGATCAACTTCAAGATTCCCATGCGCGACCGAAAGAGACCGAACTGGGGGAGCTCATGGTAACTAACCTAAGCAATTTTCCTTCAGCTCTCACCGTCATTATGGTACCCGAGGGGGATATCAGGAAATACCGTTCGTCCTTCATCGTCAACGAGGATTTGAAACGGCTGGGGTGCTCTGGACGATCAGGAATGACTCTCTCGGATCCCACTGAGGCAACACAACTCAAGTTTCTACAGCTTTACAAGACCAGTGACCGCGTACCTGTTACGCAAGCTGTTGTCGAGCTCATCAAACTATGCCAAGTCACGTTATATATGTTTGATAAATTGGGCCACCAATACATTGATGGGTTGCTTTGCGACAAAACAGAAATGGCCATCAACAACTGGTGGATTGAGGTTGGTGCTGAGCACTACAACTTCGAGCCTACCGATGGCATATTGGGCCCGAGTACAGTGGCTGCCCTGCTAGGAATGTTTATGGGTGTTCGAAACCGGCTTCATTGGTACGGTGCGCCCGTATCAAAAGACGTATTCGACCTCGAAAACACAAAACGCGGTATTGGTCATTTTCAAAAGGCACAAAAACTTGAAAAGACGAGAAGGCTGGACCGCCAAACCCTTCTCAAGCTCTATGCTGTATCTGCCAAGGCTGCTGCTGGAGAGAGTTGGGGTGTGCAAAGGGCTGTCAAATCCACCCTTACAGAAGTAGGAGGCAAAAGGGGTGAGCTTGTTATGGGCATGGTATCGGGAAAGGACAAAGGAGGACTTGCCGATGTTGAAACCCTTGACATTGGCACTTTTGCAAACCTTGCATATGGCGAACGAGCTAAATGGCTTTGGCATGGTAAACCTCGAAGAAGTCCGGCCGAAATACCCAACCATAGTCCAGAACTGAACAAGACAGTACCCTGGAAAGAGGACGAGTCAAATCCAAACCCCAAACGAGTCTACTCTGCACCTGCAGAGACGGAGATAGACCCCAAGCGGCTCGAAGACGCCACCGATGTCTATGCAGATAACCCCTCTGGGTCCGCCGTCAGTATTCCTGATGGCTCGGGTGATAAAGAGGCCTCGAAGAAGAATGTGTTCAAGAGCGTTGCTGGAAAGATGAGCGATGCCAGATCTGGCTTCGGGCGTATAAAAGACGTTGTTGGGGGAGGGTTACGTGGTCACGCCAATCGGCCTTCAGTCTCAACTAAGGAAGATTTTGCAGGATCTGACCCTAGAACCTCCAGTTCAGGACTCACTACGGGACTCTCACAGCCGGCAGCACCTACGCAGGGCGTGGGTCGGGCATTTACATGGAATAACAAACCACAAGAGTATCTGGCCGCGATGAAACGAACAGACGCGGAAGGGGGCTCGACTTTCCCTCAGCTTTCACATTTTGCATCTACTTCAACCATTGACATTAAGGCAGCATCGGCTCCTGTCGATCCTCACAAGCGCGAAATGGAAGGTGAATTGTTCGATCTGGGCGTCGAAGTCCGGAAGGATATCTTATCGAAGGCACCTTCGGCTGTTGGGTCACTAGTGGATGAGAGTGACCTCCAAGGGCCATTTTTGGATGCAGAACTTAAAGACAATCCTTCCAAAAAGAGGCTTTCGCGCAGGCACAGTATCCAACTATCACATTGCCCAACAAAGCGTGTGCTCAATGAGAACCGCTGGCCGCGACGAATGTCGTTCAGTGACGCTGAAGAGGCTGTGTTGGAATGGGGACAGTTGATCGATGTTACCGATGCTATGGACGATATTCCTACCCTCGAAGCATTCAATTATCTGGCTTACCACTTCAACCAGTGCATGGAAGAAATGAAGAATGGTATGGAGCCGTGGGTCTCTGAGAAAATCAAGGCGGTTGAGCTTCTCGACGACCGTTTCGCCAAAGATAAGGAGGAGCTCCATGCTCTTTATTACCAGCTAAATGAAGCATGCCAGCGCATGCGCATTAGCTCTCATGAGCTTCTAGCCGAGGAACGGTCTCACCTTACAGAAGGGCTCAAGGAGGTCGAGGTTCTCGTCGCTCGTCTTGACTACGAAATAAACGCACTGCTGCAGAAAGTTGTCGATGTCGAAGATGGCATCGTTACGTTTGAGAGGCAAGTTGAAGAAATGGAGAAACGGGCTAAAGATCTCAAGATCCATCTTGAGACCGAAGGTTGGTTCCACTGGTTGTTCAGGACAATCACCGGAATTGGGACTGGGCCTGACATTACCCGGTCATCTTAATCAAGGAATCGGTCAGGACTTTGAATGTTTGTCTTGGGTTGTGCATTTCATTCAAGCATGGTTTGTTAGCACGGAGTTTTTGGACATTGACATCATGCTATATAGAGCATCGCTCACACAGGAAAGAAAGTATTCATTTGTTTGGGGTTCCATAGAAGAAACATAATCTAGTTGTTTCATTCATAGTCGAGGTGTTATTTCTGGTTCAGACACACATCCATAGAGTATTATACAGTGACACCTCTGTTGCGTCCGCTCGTCATCAATTCATGATCTAAGCACCAGATATCCGAACCAAACCCAATCATCTAGCTGTGCTTCACTAGATGGCTCTCCGATAGTCGTACAAAGTTTCTCCGATCGCTCCTCCGATTCAATATCCTTCCCTTCATATGGGTTGTTTCGTAGTAGAGGGGCAACCATTTCACTCATTGCGCTTAGAACATGCCGCCGCTCTGCTGGCCACCACCGAGAGCCTGGCCCTGCTGCTGCATGATCTCGCTGACCTTCATCGATGTGTCGAGGAACTTGGCTGTGCAACGGTCGAGGCAGACGGACTCGCCCTTGTTGAGCTCGCCCTCGCGGTAGTCGCTGGGAACGCACTTCTTCTGGCAAGACTGCTGGAGACTAAAGGATGTATTGTTAGCCTCGATTGATTCTCCTTCACTTCTTTCGGAAGTTCGCTGCATACCGGTTGTAGGTGTCGGCCATCATGCGCATCTCGCTCTCAACGGCAGCAATCTTTTGCTCCGAGGTAGGCTGAGGTCGACCCATTCCGAGAAAGCTCATTTTGGCGGTGTTTGAGGGGTTGTTATTTGGTATGGTTTGGATTTAGAGGCAGATTGCAGTGATTATGAAGCTACGTTATGACGGCGTTCCCAAATCCTTGGACGGATACTGGGAAAATTTCCACTTATCGCGATTGGATGATTATGTAAGGCAATATCAGCCTACCCTGTACCATCATGGAACGAAGACTTCGTGGTCTTAATGGGCACAAGAAAATAATGAAATGATTCTAGTTCTTATTGTTAGAGGCTTGAAGTACTCGTGCGTGGTTGTTTCATTATTTATTTATAGGAATAGCCACGATATTGATATCATTTTTGAGTTGCTATTTAGTTCTTGAACGTGATGTTCTTTGTTCGTGTCCACTCCTCAAGACCAGCAGAAGCGCCAAAGCGGCCGTACCCACTTCCCTTAGCTCCTCCATGAGGCAGACTACTCTCATCGTGAACACTCATATTGTTGATGTGAACCGCACCTGTCTCGATCTCACGGGCAATACGAAGACCTCGCTGAAGGTCAGAGGTAAACACAGCAGAACTCAGGCCGTACTCTGTGTCATTGGCGATCTTGATGGCCTCCTCCTCAGTCTCGATAACAATCAGAGAGACAGTGGGGCCAAAGGACTCTGTTTGGTAGATGTCCATCTCGCTAGTAACATCCCTAACAACGATCGGTCGCATGCGAGTCTTGCTGGTCTCTTCAGCATCAACGTTGCCGTGGACCAAGGAAGCACCCTTGGCAATGGCGTCCTTGATCAATGCTTTGTTCTTCTCAACAGGCGCTGATGCAACAAGGATAGGAGCGTCGGCTTTGGATGAGAAAACCTGCTCGATAGTAGCTGAAAGCTTCTTCTCGAATTCGTCCTTGATATTGTTGTGCACCAGGATTCTCTCGGTGGACATGCAGACTTGGCCAGAGTTAATGAAGGCTCCGAGCGTGCACTGTAGAGCGGCAAGGTCGAGGTCGGCATCCTCCCAGACAATTGCAGGAGCCTTACCACCAAGCTCTAGGATAACAGGCTTCAGGTTCTCGCCAGCAATCTTGCCGATGAGCCGACCAACTGGAGTGCTACCAGTAAAGTTAATTTTCTTGACTTGAGGGTGCTCAATTAGAGCTGTCGTGACAGATGCGGCGTTGGCTCGCTCATGGAAGATAACGTTAAGAACGCCATCGGGGAACCCTGCTTCTCTGAAGATATCGCCAATTGCCCACAATGTTCGAGGGCAACTCTCGCTAGCCTTGAAAACAACGGTGTTTCCAGCAGCGATAGGGAAGAGAACGGATCTTGTTCCCAGGATATAAGGCGCATTCCTGAAGAACATATGAGTAAGTGCTTGGAGACGGATACATGAGGATAACTTACCAGGGGGCAATGGCTACAACGACACCATATGGCTCTCTCAAGACGAGAGCGGTTGTGTTGGGATCCGAAACAGTGGGGATTGAACCCTCAAGTGTTCCTACACGACCAGCAATCTCCTTGATATGGCTAATGCCAGTGTTGATATCAAAGCTGGCCCAGGCAGCATCACTGCCGCACTCTGTCATGGCGTACTCGCGTAGCTCATCTTGCCGCTTTTCCATGATTGCAGCAGCCTTGAGGAGGAGATCACGACGCTCCGAGGGCCTCGTCTTGCGCCACGACTTGAAAGCCTCAGTGGCAGCATCTACTGCAGCGTTGGCATCCTTGACATTGGCGCTGCTGTAACGGTGAGTAACCTCGCCGCTTGAGGGGGAAACGACATCAGCGGTGTTTTCGCTGATGTGGTTGCTGCCATTGATGAGGAAAGGCACGGTGTGGAGTTTGGCTGACATGATGAAGACAAGATATCAAACTTGCTGGGATGGTTTGGAGTATGTAGAGACAGGAGATGGGCAATGGCGCCGTTTAAATAGCTACAGATACAACAACGCCCGGGAACTACCCGTAAAGTACTCAGGTAACTTGCTTTGTATACCTAGTAGTTATGGTAGTATTACTCTGTTTAATATTCAGATCGCCTCTTTCTCCCCACTCGAGATATATGAGCACTCTACAGCCCCGCATGGTGAAAGTGGGCGACCCCCGGAATAGATGAGGGGATTGGTTGCTTTGATACTCTTCGGCAGTTTGGCCGGGTAACTGGGTTAGGATAGAAGAGTGTCATTTGACAGCAAACGTAGACTATGGATGGATGGACTAAGGTAGGTAGTCAAGTCCGAAGCTTGGCTAGCGCAGGATTTGAGTGCTAAAGCCAGATTATCCCCAACTTTTTGGTCGATTTAGGGTCAAAGGCTAACTGGACGTTGAATCAGGGTCCAGCGCGGATAAGAGCGTCGGATATAGGCGGTCAACAGAAGGATATGAAGAATTCGTGCCATTTAACAAACGTGGTCTGTTTTGCATGGGAATATCGTCGATCGGCCGGTCCCACCAAGCCGGGACGTGACGGGTCGGATCCATATATGTACATATGTACAAGGTTGGACTTGCAAAGATGTACCTCGCAGACAATAAAGGAGGGATCAAGTGTTGCTGCACGCACTTGGCTAATGCATCGCGAGAGCTGAGTCTTCAAGATTGTTGCATTGACCTCGGATCTAGAAAAGGCTGAGCGACATCAGTAGTACGAATGCGAAGGGTATCTGGAGGAACAAGAGTCAGAAAAGACTGATCAACATGCTTACTCCACGGATCCTCACCGATGTCTGGTATCGATCCTGGATGTGTAAAGTGGACCTCTGATTTGAGTCGTGGAGAGTGAACAGTCTGCGCAGGACGTCGAGGAGCTGGCTTGAGCTGGTGTATGATAGCCGGTCGAGTCTTTTCTGCCTCTGACATGACGAGGGCCCGTATCAAGAAATTTGGTAATTGTAACCCTGCCGTGGGAGGGATGGAAGTTTGTATAAAACAGTCATATAGCATAAAGGTTGGGGACTTGAAGTAGAAGAATGATTGGTGAATCGGACTGCTTGTCTTAGATCTTTACATGCTGCCTTAGTAATAGACATAAACTGGAACTATGCATATTGAGCCGCATGGGGTCCAAAACTTACTGTTTAATCTTAGCTATTCACTTTATCAAGTTTATAAAGCTATATCCTTTTTGATATAGGCAACTGATAATCCAAATAAGAATTTGCTTAACTGGTACGCAGTAACTAAAATCTTTATGCCAACGTCCGTACTACCCTTTTACATTGTTTGATCGTACCTGCCATGGTAAGTACCTAAACAGGCAGAGGTAGGTGCCGCCTCGGTAGGATTGAGACATCACGTGAACGGTCGAGCTGAGCCACCAATCAGCACTCCAGATAGTCTTCAAGTTCCACTTTCAACAGCGGTTTTCCTCCTTTGCCCCGCTTCGCATCAGCCCAGGTCGTTCAGAAGTCGCCATCAGAGGTAACAGTGGCCAAAGGGTACCGCAACTATACTTTCCTAGTGAGAACAAGACGTTGAAAATTACTTGCAATTGGCCCTGGTCTGGCCACTCGATTGAGTTGCCTTTTTTCGCACCTTGAAACAGGTGAAAAAGCAATCTTCTCCCAAACAACCCAAACCCCTCTCCTCCGTAGTCGGCCATTACTCGCGCGCATTGTCTTTTGCCAACACACGACGCGCCCACTCAGCGCCACGACCGACCCGGAAAACGATATCAACACCAACACCGACACCGGCCGGTCAACAACCTCCGGCTACTTGCTTTTCGCTGTCCATCTCGGCTCCGGCGCATTATCACCTCGCTTCATCGCGTCCTTGGGACATCGTCCTCATGGACGCCTCGTCCATGATGGCGGCCAGTGGGGCCGCTTCCATGAGTCCTACCAGCCCCGTCAGCTCTCGTCACGGCCATGCTCATGGAAACAGCAATGGCATCAAGCGCAAAAGAAGTAGTGTGGCTGGCATTGACAGTAGTCCTGGTAGTGGCCTCGATGATCATGATGCTGAACAAGAAAAAAAGCGTCAGCCTGGCGTGAAAAGGGCCTGTAACGAGTGCCGTCAACAAAAGGTGAGTCAACCTACTTCAAAAATCATAGTCCATTGTACTAAGCAAATTCTTCAAACAGCTACGATGCGATGTTGTGCAAGACCCCTTCCAAAGTTGTTCTCGATGCAACCGTCTCAAGCTCGAATGCAAGATCGAATCAAATTTCAAGCGTGTCGGCAAGAGGTCGAAGCACGCTGAGATGGAGAAGGAGATCGATCGCCTGCGTCGCAACTTGGCTCGCGCAAAGTCGCAAGGCTTTACTCCAGAAGGTGCCGACGACGACATGGACTCTCCAGCTGCAGCGAGCAACCCGACGTACACCCACACCCACACTCGGAATCCTTCCCTAATGGGCTCTGACGAAGCTGTGTCATCTCTACTACATCTAAAGCGTGGCGGCAACTACAACATGCCTCGATATTCGCATGAGCTGGAAAACGTTCAATTGACCGAAGATGATGTGAACAATCTATTTAGCCAGTTCTTCCAATTCTATCACCCCATGCTGCCATTCCTCAATCCTCGCCAGGCACCTGACCTCTTCTATCAACAACATCCACTCCTTTTCTGGTCTATTGTCTCAGTTGCCGCTCGACGCTTTAGTCCACCAAACGTCCCTGCACTGCTTAGCAACCTTTCAGGGCCATTGACGCGATTTCTATGGTCAACGATTGGAGAGGTTCCGAGCAATTACTACGTTGTCAAAGCCATGTGCCTGTTGTGCACCTGGCCACTACCCACGAGTACGACTTCGTCCGACCCCACACACATTTTGTGTGGAGTCATGATGAAGACAGCCACTGGCATCGGCCTACACCGGCCCAATAATATACAAGACTTCTCTAGAGTGTCTGTTGAGTTGAACAAGGAACAGCTCAGCGATCGTGTGACCACATGGGCTGTCTGCAACATTGTCGCGCAGTCCGTTGGAACCGGATACGGACAACCAGCATCGACTCTCTACGACTGGACTTTGGCATCAAAGCTTGGAGAAGAGAGCGCCTTCCAGCTATCTCGAGAACTGGAAGCTCGATTACAGATTGAGAGATTCTGTGACAAGGTATCGAAGGAGATGTATAGCAATGCTAGTGATCCTCGCGGCGTCGCAGGTGACGAGCACCGAGCAATGCTGATGCGTGTTTACCGTCGTGACTATGCGGAGCTGCATGCTTCCGTCTTGTCGCGGGAGCTAGGGCCTTTTGTCAACCTGCATCTAAGGGCGGCGGCTCTTCACATGCGCTTGGCAGGGTTCTTTGATTCCAGCAAGACGCCGGGCTACATGGATGATCTGATGGGCCTTTGGCGTGCCACAACAAACTTCCTTGATGAGGTGCTTCAAGCCGACAAAGATACGACCCCTGGTGATGGAGGCGGGAACCTGCTTTTGCACTGCAGCAATTACATTGGACAGATGATGGTTGCCGCAGGGTTTGCCCTCTTGAAGCTCATGAGATCCTTCTTTGCAAAGACAATCGACTTTCAGCGTGGTCGGTCGCTTTTCCATCAGACTATTCGTGCCATCCGTACCACCAGTGTTGTACACAACGATCTTCAGTGGCGATTGGCTGAACTTATGGTGCAGATGTGGAACGGCGCTCGACTCGACAACAACCAACACGTCTTCAACAGCAACGATGACTTACCGATACAGATGGATGACAGCTTGCAGCTTAAAGTCCGATGTCGCCACAGCATGAGTTTGGTGTTCGACTCAGTCTGGAGGTGGAGGGAGGACTTCCAGGCAATAGGGCGAGGTACCATAGATGGTATGTTGACATCCCCTCTCCCCTTTGTTCCGGTGACGGCCCCGAGTAGAGCATGTCTTGATTTGTCTTGTGCAAGTATTGCAAACACTGCAGCAAGAATGCTAATACAGACAACAGCCGCCAAACAACCGACAAATCCAGATTCGGCTAATGAGTCTTCAGCATCATCAACACATATGGACAATACCCTCGTTCCTTCGCACACGCTCCCACCCTCAAGCCTCCTCAACACAAATAGTAATAATAACAGCAACCCCACCACGAACGGCGCTCTGACCCCTGGGGCTACAGGAATTCCGGCCGTCTCCTCAGCTCATAGCATGATGGCAGGCGTTAGCTACGGGGACACAACGAATTTCGACTTCTTCGATCCCCAGCACTGGATGCTGGACGGTCTTCTTGACTTTAATTACTCATTTGTGCCGGCACTGGAGGGCGCTTAGCAGACGTGATCCAGCACGGCAAGACGGATGAGATATGCACCAAAAGCGTACTGCATTTCCAAATCATGTTTCTTTGACACGGTGTAAGTTTTGACCTTGTAAAAGAGCATTGCAGCCGCGACAAAAATCTTCCTGGTGGGTGTTTGGCGCCTTTTACCATTCACCGAACCAAGCGAGCCCGGCATTCTTGGCTGATATTAGGTCTGCACAATGGCAAGTCCGGGCTCCACGTTCACTTCCTATTTTCTCTTCACACTAGTTTCGTATTCTTGACAGGGTAATGGTTGAAGACTGTTCAGCGATGGTCATTTCACCTTGTGACTCGGTTCTATCGTCACACTTCTGTTTTCGTATTTTTAATGGGATGGATCGATAGCGGACTAAAACACGGAATCCCTCACAAGAGGCAAGTGGATCATGAAGAAAGCAAAGATACATTTAGTCTATATGCGACATGGCGGAATGACAGAGAGCACAATACAATCGTTAATCACACTTGTTCTTTACAACACATGATTCATACCACATTTTCCAACTCGTGCTTTTTACAGTTTCTCCTTGGTTTATCCACAGATGCCTGCAGGCAGACAGGCAGGCACCTTGGTATCTCAAGGGATCTGCACATGAGATTTGGGGTATCTACCAGCGTGAGAAGGCATAACAGTTCCGAGACGGAGTGAAGGAAAGCCAACAAGTAAAGGAAAGGGTTACGCGAAGAGAAAACCCTCCCCCATGACAATCCGCAATACCTGAAGGCAAGGATGTAGGAAAACGGAGACGCGGGGCCTTGATCCGTGAGCCGATGCAGGCATATATGTGTACGTACCCATAGACATGCCAGGTATAGTGACTTTGACACCGAGTGACAGGGAGGGATTGTTTTCTCATTCCTGGCGGCACGCACCATCCTGCCTCCATTTCGTCTATCATGTATGGAGACCCTTTATGGGGCCAAGTAAAAAGTGCGTAGTACTCTTGACAACAAAGCACAGCCCAAAAAGGCATGTTTCAGAGGTTGTAGATCTAATCAACTTTGGAACAACTGTCAACTCATCACTCATTTCGAGGTAGCATGGCTCGCTACGCGACCTAAGCGAGCAATCGCCGAATAGGTATGCAACTCATGGACCCAGAATCCTGGTTACGGGAGTCAGTTCGCAATCATCAGTCGCATTTATCGCCGTTATCGACCAAGTGTATAAAGCCCAGAAAACGGCACGGTTGATTTCCTGGTTTCTTTGCCTCAATTTCGGGTTATTCGAGCGTCGACAAGTCCGTCTGTCGTTGGCTGTGCAATGTCGATCGTGGTTCAATTGATTGTCAGAGTGCAGGAACAATAGAATAATGGGCGCCACAGCCGTTTAATATCTTAACGTATTTCCGAATTCCTGCCACAATAGAAACGATACAGCCATGGCGTTTTTGGTCGGAGCCTCAACATATTCATTGGTGCTTTCGACTCTGGAATGTAAAGTACATAGCTGTTCTGGGTATCCGTGGCTGGTGTCAATAAGGGCCTGTGTCTATCAGAGTATTAATGTGAGCTTGGTGGATCAGAAAGGATCATTTATAGCCGGTGGCTGTGATGCCTGAAACAACTACATTCCTTGCTCGACAATTCGAAAGAAATCATCGAAACTGTCT